TCAAAAGACTCATTCTGAAAAAGGGAATGTTATAATCTATGCAATACATATTTTAAGAATTTGTGGCAGAAAGAATGGGAATGGGAACGTAGAGGAAGACTTTATTTTTCTCGTCAGCTCATACTAGTTGGCAACCCTTAACCTGTGGTTGTAGGGATGAAGTAGTAATTACCAGAATGAGATTGGGGCACTGTGGTCTGGCGGCATGTTTATTTAGGATTGTAAACATGTAGATGGGTTGTGTGAGTGTGTTGACTCCGAAACTGTTGTTCATGTTTTGTTGTCATGCAGCAAGTATAATAGTGAGAGGCGGCAACTTCTTATGGGGCTGGCGGATTTGGGGTTGGAATCGTTTTCCTTCACTTCCTTTTTTCGATTAGTGCACAGTCCCAAAGTGTATGTAGCTTGATTGTTCGATTCCTTCGTCTCACTGGCATTTATTCAAGAGTATAATGTAGCGGTAATATGGCAATGGAAGGCAGCATTGCACATTCCAGCGTATAGCCTGCTGGAAATTTATTAGAAGAAGAAGAAGAAGAAGACTCATTCTGGGAGGTACTGAAAAGATCACTTTAAAACATGCTTGATCTTCATGAAGGTGGTAAAGTAATAAGTGACTGGACTCAAGTAAGAGTAGAGATACTTCATACTAATATTCCTCAGGTTTAGGGCCCGACCAGTACGCCTTTTTTGGGACCGATACTGATATAAAACTTTTAACAAAGGCCGATAGCCGATATAATGGCCAATAAATCTCCCTCACAAAAAAAAAGAAATACAAATTTTCTTAAGATTAAACCCTTCATTCGCTCCCTTTTTGAGGCAAACTTATTTCTCTATTACACACCAAAGAACTGTCTCCATAACTCACTCGGGTTTCCGAGTAATACAAATAAGATTTATTTAGCAGATCTCAAACACAACAGAACACACAAACTCAGTTACAGCATAAATCTAACATTCAAGTTTTTTCTTTTAAACTGTGGTTTCTACAATTACATTTTAACTTAAAGGAATATTCCACCACTCAGTAAAACTGTGTCTTGTTAAGATTCCCCAGAGTTAGACAAGTCAGAAAAGCATTTTATAACCAGCCCAACATGATCTGGCAGCAGTTGGTTTTCTTAGTTTAGCATAAAACAATGTAAGTGAATTCACATATATTGTAGTGTTTTTTTTTTATGTAGGTGAATGCAAGCCTTCCCTTCCATTGCTTTATGCTAAAACAACTGGCTACAATATGTTTTTTCTGACTTGGCTAACTCGGGAATCTAACAACACACACAAGTTTATGGACAGAAGATCCCTATAAGAATATTATAATAATAAAAATGCAGCAATAAATAAAACGTAATACTTGTGCTTTGTAACAAAGTAACACTCTGTGGAAGTTCACTTGGTGAACTTATATAAGCCTCATATAAAATATAAGGTTGAAAAAATAC